TAAAAAACTTCATCGAATTTGGTCTGGTAGTTGTCGAGATATCTTTGCTCAAAGTTTCAAAAAATTATTTTGATAGGTGTTTTGGTTTTTTTTTTAACTTTGAGCAAAGATATCTCGACTACCACCTGACCAAATTCGATGAAATTTTTTTAATCGAATCAACTAAACTCATAATCAAAATAAAAAAAAATTTATCGAATTTGGTCAGAGATATCTTTGTTCAAATGGTTTTGTTTTTTAAAGGGGTAAATATATTTACTAAATTATTTTAAATCATACTTGTTTATGAGTATGTAATGCCGTTGAAAAACAAATATTACGGCCTAACCAGAACTCCATTTGTGATTGTAACTCCTAGGTACTAGTCAGACTTTTCTTCCGACAGTCATTTGTAGTAAGCCTTCCTATAAGCGCTGCGGCCCACTGAAGTGTACAAATTGGTAAGCCATCTAACTTTTTTCGACTATCTGCGAATAAGCTTTGAAAGTTATGACGATTATATTGCGTAAATGTTTGATCATATCGAAAGTTGTGTTACGGCCGAAAAACATCGGATTAAATCAAAATTTTATCACGTGCCCACTATTTTTCAAAACAGGTACGTACGTGCGTACAATGCTGCAATGATAAAAATTTTTTAAAAACTCATTATCGAGAGAATCATTAATTTTGGGACATCTGGTAAAAATTGACCGAATAATTATTTGACCGATTCGACGAGTTTTTTTTGATTTTGGGAGTGATTAGTAATATAGTGATTTTACAGTTTATAAAATAAAACAATTATTTTATGGTATTTTTACGTGATAAAAATGATCGATCTTATTCCATAAGTTGAAATAGTAAATTCATTGTTATTGCATACTACGTAATTAATAACAGCCATATTTATGTTCTCTTAATTCGATAAAGAATCTGATAGCCAGTTTGATCAGGCAGACCAATTGTAAAGGGAGATGATTAAAATCTGAGAATCCCGACAAAGTCAGCCAGAGTTAGTTTAATGTTGGCCGGTATTTTGACTCTGTCGGGATTTTGACATAGCAGATAGAACCCGACTTACCTTCGGGTCTCGAGTTTAAATGACGTATGAAGATGCTTATCACAGTAATATAAGCTTCACATGATTTGGCACAAGTATATAAAGCCGTTTAATTCTCGTCATTTTTTTTACCACAAAAAAAAAAAAAGTTTTCTTGCAAAAACTGTCGATTTGTTCAAACGTCCATAACGGTGGTACATTGACACACATTCGTTGGAAGCTTCTTTTTTTACATTAAGCCATTTTACACACCTTTACCATTACGATGGCATCAGTTTCAAAGCAAAAACGTTTGGCAAAAAAAGCTGCCAAGAATAGCTCTGCTCCTGCCACGAAATCAACTGCTGAAAGTGCTGTTAATGGTAAAGGATCAACAGTTAAAAAAGAGACAAACTCTACTGCAGCAACCGATTTATCTCTTGATTCGTTAAAGATCTCTAGCGAGAGGACCGCCAACGGTGTTTTAACATCACAACCAATGGCAAAAGACATCAAGATCGAACAATATAGCCTGTCCTTCTTTGGTCGTGTGCTAATTGAAAACGCCACAATAGAACTTAATTTTGGTAGACGGTACATCGATTTCTATTTGTAGTGTTTACATGCTATTTGGTTTGATCGTTTTTTACTGACTTTATTACTATTTCTATATTCTTTAGATATGGTCTTATTGGCTCAAACGGTAGTGGAAAGAGCACTTTCTTAGCATCCTTGGCTGCAAGAGAGGTCCCGATTCCGGAACATATTGATGTAAGCCTTATCGTTAAAAAATTATAGGGATCCTTGGCTTTATCTTTTCTTTTTTACTAATAAATATTTTTCTCTGTGTTACTTAAAAAGGTCTATTTATTAAATCAAGAAGCTGACCCGTGTGATCTCAATGCCATCGATTATGTCATTCGAGCTGCAAAGGATGAGATCGTTCGGTAAGTATATTTTAAAAATCGATTAATTATAAAAGCCCATTTATTAATTGTTATATTTTACATTTTACATAGTCTAGAAAAAGAAGTCGAAGACTTGTTGACGGAAAACGACGAAGATCCTAGATTGGAAGATCTTTATGATAGAATCGCAGCTCTCGACGAATCGACGTTTCAATCTCGCGCCAGCACTTTACTTCATGGTCTAGGTTTTGCACAAGACATGATGGCCAAGAAAACTAAAGACATGTCTGGTGGATGGAGAATGCGAGTTGCTTTGGCAAAAGCTTTATTTATTAAGCCTACATTGTTGTTATTAGATGAACCTAGTAATTAATGTTTTATTTAAATTAAAGTTTATGCAATTATATATTTTTTTTATATATATTATAACATTGAAATTGTATTCTTAATCAGCCAATCATTTGGATTTGGAAGCTTGTGTGTGGCTTGAGGAATATTTAAAAACATACAATCGGTAGGTATACTCAAATATAGCTCTGCTTTTCAGAATATATTTTAAAATATAAATATTAATATATTACATTTATTAGTATCTTGTTGTTAGTCAGTCATTCTCAAGATTTTCTTGACAATGTATGCGACCAAACAATACATCTGACTGTAAGTTTTCGATTAAAATGTTTGTCACAGGAATATCTTAAATTATGATTAACGAGTTGAACTTTATTTATCAGGAAAAGAAAAAATTAAATTATTATGGTGGTGGTTATTCCACTTTTGTGAAAACTAAGGCCGAATTGGAAGTCAATCAGATGAAAGCATATCACAAGCAACAAGACGAAATCGCCCATATCAAAAAGTTCATTGCTTCTGCTGGTACTTATGCAAATTTGGTTAGTAGAAATTTTTTCACTTTTTTATTAATATTTCTCATACTAATACTAACCTAATTTTTTCTTAACACAAAAATTAGGTTAGACAAGCAAAGAGTAAACAAAAGATTATAGACAAGATGGAGGCTGCTGGATTAGTCGAAAAGGCTGGTATTATTTTCTATTCTTTGACACCTGAACAAATTCTCATTCAGCATTTCACAAATTTACAGGTAGAGATTCAATCAACATTTAAATTCAAGTTCGCAGATGTTGAAAAACTTCCACCGCCTGTACTACAGTTTGATCAAGTTTCTTTCTCATATAATGGAAGCACCAACTCAAAAGACCTTTTATACAGGGATCTTGATCTCGCTGTCGACATGGATTCCCGAATCGCTCTTGTGGGCCCAAATGGTATTTATTTATTTATAATGCTCTTATTTTGAATATTTAATTGAATTAGTTTTTTTTTTTTTGTAGGTGTCGGTAAATCAACTTTACTTAAGCTGATGATGGGTGAACTTCAATCTGTCACAGGAAGAATTTCTCGACATACAAACCTAAAATTGGCTAAATATAGTCAACATAGTGCTGACCAGCTTGAAATGGATTTAACCCCTATTCAATATATGAGAAAGAAATTTGCCCATTTGAATGGAGATGTTGATGTAAGCTTTTTTCTCATTGTTGTAATTTTAAATATAATACAGAGCCATTAATATTACTTTAGTTTTGGCGCAGCCAAATTGGCCGATATGGTCTTACAGGATCTCATCAAACATCCCCGATTAAAACACTGAGTGACGGTTTAAAGACTCGATTAGTTTTCGCAGAATTGGTATTGTCAACCCCTGATATTGTTCTTATGGATGAACCTACTAATCACTTGGTAAGTTTCCTTTTAATGAATATGATTCGATTACTTTGGTTTTGTACTTAAAATCTTTTATTATCAAATGTGAATTAGGATATGGAAAGTATTGATTCGTTAGCACAGGCTATTCAAACTTTTTCTGGAGGAGTCGTACTAGTCTCTCACGATTTTCGTCTTATATCTCAAGTTGCACAAGATATACTGTTGTGTAAAGATAAAACGGTAGTACCTTTTAAAGGAACTATTGAAGATTATAAAAAGCAGCTTCAACGGTCAATGAAAGTTTAAATATTGAAATTTGAGCTTTGAAAGTTCAAGGGAGTCAATGAATTTATTTTAAACAATTTTCATATTCATTTTAAAATATTTTGGCGGTACGATTTTCTGAAAATATATAGTTATTATTTTCAGTAACTGGTTTTTAAGACTTGTTTTTCATTTATTTTATGAAACTAGAGTTTCTATTAGTTATTACAATTTAAATTCACTACAAAATTTAATTGACTACTTAGGTAATAAGAAAATGTGGGCTAAATTAATAGTGTAGAGAATGTTGGTACTTGCATTTGTTGCAAAATCATTATCGACGCAAGTAAAAGCGTATAGAATCGATCCAAGCATTATTAATATAGTTTAGAAAAGTATATACATAATCTATGTACACAATCTAAAAGTACATTACAAATTATAGACTGGCAAAAATAAATGCATATTTTTTTACATTATAAAGCCTTCTAATTTTTTTTTATTTTAAAAATTCAAAAACTTTAAATAAAGTTCTTGACTTTAAATAAATAGATCATATTATTTCGTGCGATTTGATACAATATTTTGTTGATTAACAGGATCTAGAATTTTTGTTACGTAATGGCTAGCAAATCACCAATTAAAAGCAAACTAAATTTACTTATTAATATTTAATCTGTTTAATAATTAAAAACCAAGCTTTTACACAGTATATATATATATATATATATATACAGTATATATATATAATTTATAACTAGTTTATCTAATTTATTTGTACAGTATTTAAAATTATTCTACTTACTTCTAGTTTAAAAATAGCTTTAATCTAGCTTAATTACTAACAATATATATAGTTTGAAACTTATATTATGATTTAGAATTAATGCTTAAATAATTTCAAATTAAATTAGCAATATATTTGTTTTGAAATGTGATTTATTATCTAATTTTTTCAACGACCTAATGATCGGGTTTTGACGTCCTAACAAGAGTAATAAAAAATGGTGCAAAGATCTTTGGAATTTTATTGCTACGAAATAATTTCCTCCTCAAAGTGCAATGTATATAACCTTAATCATTATCTATTTAAACATTTATTATCGATTTCAAATTGAGTCGACAGTGCTGGCTATTGAACAAATCGGATATATTGTACATAAATTGCAACAATTTGATGCCATAATTCAAATCAAAAAAATAATTGGTAATATAAAAGATGCCAATAATTGATTGACTTTGTCAAAGTATCCCTATTCGCTTCAATGTTTTTAAAAAAGAATGGGAAACACTCTAACAAAATTTTATCGAACTTTAATAAATATGAAACTATGTATTGAATCCAGTATTTCTTCTAAACGTAGGGAAAGTTGCACTAACAGTATTTTGTAAAGTAGACGTGACAGTATTTGCGAGGTTAGCACCCAGATCACGAGCAACAGCGCCAGCACCACTTCCTGAAATTGTTGCTATCGTTCCAGATCGTTTCTTAAGTTTATTTGCTTCATTGTACGAAGATACTATTTCTGATATGTTTGTTTCCAGCACCTTCAATTTAAAAAAAATAATATTCTTAGTTTGTTTATAGAGAAAATACTTTTTGACTATACATACCATTCCTCCTGAAATTACTTCTGAAAGAATATTATGAACCTAATTAAATAGAATTAGTATGAATCAGTCGAAACATTTATTATTAGTTAAAATAAGAAACAGTCAGACCTCCTCCATATATGCAACTTTTCTTATTATTCTCTAAATGCATGTTATCAAAAGTTTGGTCCCAATGAGTTGCACTTAGGGAGGTCTGACTGTACCAATAAAAGATTCCTACCTCTTCGAAATGAAATATCTTAATTTGAATATATTAATGAGTGATATAGGTATTTGATATTTGCTAAATTCATGTTTGAAAAGTTTTACTTAACCTACCAAGTCAAGTTCACACACGTTTTCAAAACATCGATCCAAACTTTCCACGAACACCTAGATTAAATAGAGCACATATATCTAAAAATAATTATCAACCACATAACAAACGACTTAATAGACAGATCACTGAAATATTATTTAAAAAACGAACCTGAATTAAATCCAAAATTCCTAATTCGCTTTCACTTTCGTCAACCACAAAAACGAAATACAAAGTTGCATAATGCCTATAAATAACACGAGTATCCTTTCCACCGAGCATTTGACTTCCTTCGAGAAAATTACAAGCCGTATCTGGACGTTTTGAAACTAATGAATATATTTCTTGAAGTAATGCTTGCTGTGTTCCAATATCCTTATAATGACAATAAAAACATTGAATTAAAATTACAAAGTGTTATTTCAAAAAAAAAAAAAATTAAAATAAGCTTACTATCTGTTGATAGAATTTTGTGATACGAGGTTTTCCATGGTTATTGAAAATAAGAACAGATTTAATCATTTCGTAAAATAAATACTGTGAATTTGAATTTTTCGAACAGGAAAAGGTTTAATAAATATCTAAGTGGCGTGGTGTGACGAGCAGATTGATCTGCAATACATAGTACCCCCCGAATATAATATCCCCTATTAAAAAGACCCGGGTACTAATCACGGGGTCGAGATTTAGAAAATTGAATAAGACCCGGGTATTAGTAATGAGATCCTAGTTATATAAATACACAGAATATAATGAAGATAACACGA